AAATTAGACTTTTGTCTCAGAAGGTAAACATTACCTAGCATGTATGGTGTATTTAAACCTTTGAAACACATTACTGCAGCTTGGATGTGAAATAACTTGGTATAAGCTGAGCAGACATTGTGAATAGTTTAGAAATGCCCAAGTCTTTTGCCATTAGCAGTTAGAATTAACATATAAACTTCTAAGACCAGCTTTGAGTTATTGAAAGCCTTATCACTTCAGTGAAACAGCACCTCCAAACTCATAGATGCATCTAGAAGGTCTACATAATATTACAGGCTCTTGCTTTAGAGAGATTTGAGTGCTCCTGTTTCCTGAGTAGGGGAGCCACTTTTCAGAAAGACATTCTTTCCATCCTGAAGCATCCCAGTGAGTTCTCAGGAAGAATAAGGACTGATACCTAGGAGTTTCCAAGCCACTGCCTGGATGTACATCTTCACTGTTCTATAAAAGTATTTCCAACTGACTTGAAAAATGAGGTGCTGTAGATGGTAGCTAACTTAAGCTAAGTTTTGTCTGCACGTTTTTTTGTTTGGGTTTTTTGTTGTTGGTTTTGGTTTTGTTTGTTTTTAGTAAAATTTCATTCCTGAGTTTGTTGGGACCAGATCTCTGAGCTAAAATGGCAAGACCTTAGTGAAGGAAGCAGAATGTTGAAACCTCAGCTGTAATATCGGTCTTATCAGGAAGTATGCATTCTGTAGATGTCAAAGACAGATAAATGACAACATGAACAAAAGAGAATACAAACGGGCATATTGATGACATTTGAATGGCATAGTTGCATTCTATGAATGCTGATACGGGATAGAAATTGCTAAATCCACGTGGCATCTTCTCTTTAATCAATTAATGAAAGGTGGAAGTATTTTTTAAAAAGACAACCAAGATGTAAAACAACCAAGATGTGAAGCAAACACAAATGTATTGCGCTGTTAAATTCATTAAATGCATGAGCAATAACAGCAAAGGCATATAAAACTGAGTCTGGAGCTGTTTCTGTAGTGATCAAGCCCTTGAAGAGAATGCAAAGCATCTGAACAGGTATTGGGCACTGAATAATTAACAGCTAGTTCATCCTGATGGTTTTTTCTGTGCTTGAGTTTCCACATATTCCAACAGCTGAAGATGAAAAATGTGGAGCAACACATGCCTCATACTGAGGAGCCAAATTTGTTTCTGCTGGGACAGCCAGCCCTGGTGTGATCTGATGAGCTGCTTTCTGACCTTTGTCAAATGGAGCCAGTTCTTCTGGTAGGGCATGTTATCTTGCGGGGAGTTCAAGTGAATGGGACTGAAGTGGAAAGAGGGAGAACAGACATGAGGGTGTGGACTGGTGTGCTTGCAACAAAAAGTTTGGCTTCTGAAGATGCTCTGCAGTGTGAGCTGATGCGAGTTTTGGAGGGAGCTTGTGTGTGTTGTGCGCTGTATGAACTAGAAGGTGGTGAGAATTAGCTAAGAAAGCTGGGAGGGCAGATGGTTTGAACACAGCACAGACACTGTTGTGGGGATGTGCCTTATGTGGGTGGCAGTTTGGAGGGAGTAATAAAAAATTCACTATGTGACTTGTAAAGATCAGCTGCAGAGTGGTGGACAGGTTCCTCATCATTTCACCTTGACATATCGCTGAACTGAAGAATCAGTAAATATGCTCCTGCTCTATTTCTGCTGTGACAATTGCTTGGGTGGAGAGTCTGTTCTGACTTGACTATAGTCATTATTTAAACTTTTTTAAAGCAAGCATTATGATCCAAGTTTGGGTCTGACGAAAATACACTATATGCAGCGTGGAATGACGTACTAGTTTGACTGTCACTTTATGTATCCACTTGGGTTATAGGAGAGGTTTTCTTTTTTTAGTATTAAACCTAGTTATGTGAAAACAATTTCAGACTGCAGTTCTGCTATGGTAACATGACTGGGGATACAGGTGGGAGCTTATCTCCTTACAGGAGAGGGAAACTTCAAAAGCTGTGATGTGCTGGATTTAAAAAATACTCCATTTGCTACTAAAGGACACTCAAACTCCCATTCGTATCCAGGACTACTGGAGAAACAACAGTGTCTTTGAATCTTTGAATATAAGATCGTAAAGTAATTTTGAACTGCTAGGAAAACAAGTCAGTTGATAGCCTTTGTGTTACGTTGTCTTTAAATTCAAATAGTTAACATGCTCATGTGTCATATTAGAGTATCTGAAGGCGTGTAAACATGTGCATTATCTTCTATACCGTGTTTAGTTTTTACTTAGAGGGAGATGAAAGTAGCAGCTGAAGAAATCCCACTTCCTCCTGTTGCTGCCATGTAGCCCTTGGCTTATCCCTCTCCCCTCCCCGTTTTGCTGGCTGTAAAGCCTTTAGCTTCTATCTTGCAGATGCCATCAGTCCTAATTAAAAACAAGAGAGACTGTATGTCAGGTCAGTTCTAATCTAAACTGTTAATTCAGGCATTCTCAGTTTACAGATTTTCTGTGAAGTTTGAAAAAATTTCTAACCTGATGCTACTTGGATGTGAAATATACTTCGCATCACAACTGTGGTCATCTAATTCTGCTGCCAAGCCAGTCATTTAAGCAAATAACTAAAATGTTAGGTGCTTAGGCAAATGAGGGCAAGGCATTTGATCAACAAATAATTAGAGAAGAAAAAACTTCTTATACACTGAAGTTTTCTCATTTGACAACACTCAGTAATTGAGTGCTGTGGCTTTGTATTAGTATTCAGCCTAACATTATTTAATTGAAACTTTGTAATGAGAAAACTGCTTGTGTAAAGGCTACAGATTTACGCTTGAGTTTATATGAAATTAGAATCATGTTGACTGTCACCTTATTGGTGTGTCTAGTTCAGTAAACCTTTTTCTTCAGGTATCACTGGTGCTGCTACCTATATTTTGACCATTGTCCAGAGCAGTAGAAGTTCAAGTATAAATCATCAGTTGTCACCTTTAGACTCCAGCTCAATAGCACAGTGTTTTAAAATTCACTGCCAGTGATGATTTGAAATTTAAAGCACCTCTTTGGAAAGCCAGGGTGCTTTGGGAAACTTGCTTCTTGAACCTTTAGTAGCAGTTTTACAGATCCTTCACCACCAAAGTTTGTTTTCTAAAGAACCAAAATGATTCCTGTGAATGTTTTCTGACAGCTAGAAATGTCAATATTCTTTTTAGGTGCAAGGTTGCTTTGTTTGCATTTGGAAATACGCAGAAATGGAGTTTTGCATAGTGTGACCTTAGCACATGCAATAGCTGTTGTATCTTTTGGCAACAGATTGCTTTGAGCTGCTCTTGCTGCTTCACATTGTAGAAGGCATCTGCATGTGAATCCATTTGAAAGATGGCATTAACCAAATGTTCTAATATGTGTTAAAACAGTGCTAGGAACGTTAATCATGAATATGAACAAATTTCTTTGATTGGAGGGGAATTCACCCCTGTTTAAAAAAAGTATTTAATTATAAGGTAGCATAGCATAGCTTGTGCTGTAGCATTTAGGTCATGATGCAACTTTATGATGTGTATGAACAGCTTGCCTTCTGGTTTTCTCCTTAAAGCAAGAGAGATGAGAAGGATTCCTTATTTGCTGTTGCATCTTTTCATACCTTAACTCAGGCAAATTCAACACTTGTGGATCTTAAACTAAAATGCTGAGATCAAGAAATAAGAGGCAGGGTTTAAGAATGAGTGAGTGCATGGAAGCTGGAAAACACAGGGCTCAGTTGAATGTAAATGGAATTTCTTTGTTTCCTGGCTTTGTTATTAATGTTGTAGCTGTTGCATACAATGTGTGTGGTGAGTGTTACTCAAAGAAATCAACAAAAAGCCAGACAAAAATCTAGTCGGAAGGGGCTATGAGTATGAACCTTTTCTTTTGGTTGCTGAGATCGATGGACTTTTTCACAAATAAATAAAATGTGGAAGAAACTATGCTAGCACTGAGTCACCATGTACCGCGCCAAGTCCTTCCTTAGGCAGTGCACCTTTCCTACAAAGGAATGAAAAAAAGAGAATTCTAAGCCGCTACAGTTTTCAGGTCGGGTCACAGGTGAAGTACATGGCCCCCACTGCCAGTTGCCAAGCTGTGATGCAGGCAGCACTGCAGAGTGGGGTGCATGTGTATTTTCCAGGTGGAGGTGGTGTTGGTACCTCCCGTCCTGCCACTGAGAAGGGACTTCCTTGGGCCATGTGATTCGAGTCATGTAAGCAATTGCTGACCTTGGACAGGAACCTGCCCTCTGATGAGGAGCAATGCCTCAGGACAGATCGAGGATGTTACCTTATCAAGGTGTGATTTCGGTAGAACAGTGACTCTTTCCTTACATTTTTGCCCTTTGAGGGGAAACTGTGCTCCTTCCTGACACCTCAGAATATGTCTTCGCAGTCAATGATGAACTTTCTCAGCTGTTAAGGAAAGTTCATTAAGCTTTTGTATAAGGAGGGAGAATTTCACAAATACTGCTGCATGCAGGAGCCCTCTGTACATGCCCTCCTGGTGCTCTGCTCGCCCTTCTCCTGGACTGTGGGAGTAGTAGCCAGCATAGCTGGAGAGTTGGCTTTTTAGGTGGCCTGTGCAGTAGGGGACACCCAACTATGGGAAAATATTTTTGTCTTAGACTGGCCTGGGCTGTGTGACCTCGTAAGAGACAGCGAAAGCTGTGTTTCGGTGTTCCTGGGGAATTGGAGTCTTTTTGGGAAATGAAGGCTTGGGCAGGCTTTAGAAACTGAACTCTCACAAATCATGATAGTGTTGGTTTTTCTATTGAATGATTGTTTCTTGGCATGTAATTTTATTATGGTTAAATATTTTTCGAATTCTTTATTGGCTCCTTATTACTGAGGATTTTTAAAATGTAGATACAGATCGAGTACTTTAACTGCACTGTCAGATCTTCTTGATTACAGATTCTCCTAAATATAGGTTGTATTTTTTGTTGCTGTCTCTTTTTTACCCACTCCTCCACCCTTTTCCTGGCCTTAAGCAAATGCCTTGTTCTTTTTCTTTACAGGCTCCGGATAAAAGGAAAGCATTAGAAGAGACCAAAGCCTATACAACTCAATCTCTAGCCAGTGTTGCTTATCAGATAAATGCACTGGCCAACAATGTATTACAACTGCTGGACATCCAAGCATCCCAGCTGCGGAGGATGGAGTCCTCCATCAACCATATCTCCCAGGTAATCTTTTTTTAACAGAGAACTGACAGCACTAGAGGAAACATTTACTTGTCTCTTGTATTATTGAGCTGGATAGTTTATGTTGACTTATTTGAATTCTCTGAGTAACATCATAGAACATATTAAGACTTTTTAATTTAGTATTTATGGAAGTCACTTTGGAATGGAGGTCATGACTGAAATAAAGCAGTTCCTTTATCAAGAAGTGCTGGGATTATATTTAGTTTAAAGCAAGAGTTAATTATTAAGATTCCAAGATCTAAAGCTGCAGTTGAGGGATGGGGTAGAGAGTAGGATTCTGTTTCTGAACGAAATCCAGGTAGAAGTACTATATGAATGGTGGTATTTTATGTAATGTTGGAACATATGCAGTAATCATACTTGTTTTCATACCACTTGCAGGATGTATTTTATGAGCTGTGTGAGAGGGAGAGGGGTTCACATGCTGCCACTGCCTGCTCAAGCCAAACTCTTCCCAAGCCAAGCAGTGGGATGATGAGCTGAGCTGACTTGTACTGTGGCTGCAGCACTGCTAGCGTTGATGTAGGAAGGACGTGGATGATGAGGCGGAACAGGCCTGTCTCTGTTGGTGGCAGCCTGCGTTCCCCTGGCTGAAGCTTCACCCTAGCTGTCTGCTGCTGACAGGGGGGAGTTGCAGTTGCTGCTTCCCTTGTCCCTGCTCTGGCACTGGTCTGATTGTATGGTAACTCAGCCAAAAATTGTCTGCTGTGTTTAACTGGGAAGTGGCTTACTGCGTATTCAGGTGGGTGCCAAGGAAGGGAAGGACAGGATCCACTTGATTATTTCACCCTTGTATTACTGTTCTGAAGTGGGCTTGAGGGCCCAGTGTCCACTCTGTCATATGCCCTTACTGAAATTCAGTTGGATCTTTGCTGGGCTTTCTCTTACGCCTGTCTGTGACATTTCATAAACAAATCTCAGAGGATTCAACCTAAAATGTTCTTTGGTGCAGCCAGTGAATTTAAAATCTTTGTTGGTCAACCGATACCTTGTTAGTGATACACCTTAGATCAAATACTTGAAAGAAATTGCTTCTCATGGCCTTATCTTCCGGTCGGCCCTGCTAACCTCTTTTTACTGTTCTTTTATAGTCGTGGTTTCTAAAAATCTTTCTGTTAAATGGCAGCACGGTGGTTCACTGAAAGTGTGTCAGCAGCGAGAAGATTCCAGTGCATGTGGAAGGGCTTTCCTAGTAACAGACCCTTTGAAAAGGTTTGTCAAGTTAGTATGTGCTAAGAAGTACAGTGTTAAAAGCTGTATCAAGCATTTTAAAATGCCACTGAAACAGGGAAGCAGGAGAAAGTACAATTGCTGTAGATAAGTTTCTTGCTCTGTCAAGTATTCAGAGATTTCCTGATGCTGGGATTATGACTACTTCTGAAGAAATGACTGGATAAAGAACTGAACCTACAGGCTTTCCCAGGTATTGGGTGTCCTTTCATACTGAGCACATCTTTTCTTAAGTGTTTCAGAGATGCAGTGCTTATGAAGTGATTATTGTTAAATTCTCATTGGCCCACTGATATGACTAACCATGGAAGAAGCCAAAATGTTTGATACTAGCACAAAAGGTGTTAATCCTCTGTACTGTTTGTTGCTGGAATTGAAGGCACTATGCTGAAAGCTATTGAGTCACCTGATACATGAACTGTTTGCTAAAGACTGTGAACAATCAGTGCTTTGTCGAGCTCTTGAGGAGTGCTTAGAAAGGTCACTTGCTTGTAGTTTCTGTCCTGGTTGGTCTTTCCTGAATCTAATCCTTGCTTATAAATGAACTTCTGCATTTTGTAGAATTAAACTGGGTACAGATAATGCATGCATACCAGCTCAGCTGTTTGCTTTGAAATGTTTCTGCTCAAATGCTTCAACTGCATTTCTTAAATCTGCTGTGCAGTTGCTTTGATAGACTGTTTCTAAATTCTCTGAGGTCTCCAGGGTCTTTCTTGTGTCTGTATCAGTCGTGAATATTTTCATGTCACTAAAGCATGGGGATGAACATATTCTCAAAATGGAATTCTTCTCCATGAAAGAAGTCTTGCTTAGAAACATAGATCTGAGGCATTGCCAGTCAATTACTCAATTCTGACCAGAAAAGCTTATTAAATTGTACCTTATCTCACAGATATTTGCTCTATATTGCAAAACTCAGAATTGATTAATTGACTGGCAATGCCTCAGATCTATCTTCTTTCTAAGAAAGAAAATCTTGTGGCTCTTATAACCTGCAGTTTCTGTTCCCCTGCTGTCTTTCAGTTCTCTGTGCATGTTTTCCAGAATGACTGTAGGCTAAATGGCTGGATAGCTGATCTTGAAGATTAGCCACTCAGTATTTTTCCTAGCTGTGCACCTTCTTCATGGGAAAAAGCCTTCATGAAAAGTTAAGTGATGGAGTGGTGTGTTCTATTCCTGTTACTGGAGCTTTATTTTACAGATGGAAGGTTTGCTTGCTTTTATAGGAAGAAAATAATTTAGCTTTGGTTTCTTGTTGTGAGCAAATAGAGACTTTACAGGTGTAACCACACTGGTGAGAGGGAGCATTGCTCTGAGGCAGTGAACAGCTCCAGGAATGGCTTTCACGTAGCAGCTAGAGCAGAAGCGTGCCCAGCTGCATCTATATTTTCTGCACAGTTGTCTTTCAGCTGTAATGTGTGGATCTGGAGTGACCTGCCACATAATTATTTACTACACCAAATATACAGAGCTGTTCACATACAGGTCAACTGTTTGACTTAAATCCTGGATACGGACTTTGAGTTTTGCCAGGCTAACTTGACCTTTCCAAGCTGCTCTAGTATGGCAGAGCAGAGACTTGGTCACTGTTCTGGAGAAATTAACAAACCCTTCTGCTATAAGAGATCCTGCTCATCCTATTAGGCAAGATTTAGGGGGGAAAGATAGCAAGTCTGTGTGAGCAATAGACCAATTGACCAATGTGAGTGTCAAGGCTTCACTAAAGACACTAAGGCATGTATGCTTCTAGACTCCCTACTACAAGCTTTCTGTTGCAGTCACGGTTACATCGAATGTTTCTGTCAGTAGGAGTTGAGCTGGTTTTGAGCTAAGATAGGAAAGCAGAGCCAGCCCGAGTGCTACACTGTTAGGGTGTGCCCTCACAACTTTCCCATTGCACACTGGCATAAAAAGGCAATGGAGGAAGGACTTGAGACCCATGTGGTTCCTAGCAATTACTACTGACTTCTCCATCCCCAAATGCTAGGTAGTAGCAGAGCAGCAGCAATCTATATCTGTGGTATAGATTTGCCTTCAGTTGCAGCAACCAAAAAAGAAATTTTTCTTGAAGAAGATTTAACTGTAATAGCCAGGTGTTTTGCTTTCTTCATAACATCTCTAGAATAGGTAGTATTTTCTGTTGTAGCAATTTTAGGGAAGATGACTGGGCAGTGAAAGGGGAAAGGAGAAACTGAGGGTCAACCTGCAGTTGGAGATGCCAGGAAGGACCTTAGACATTGAGGTGACAAAGGAATGAAGACCTTGATATTCAGCATATGATATTTCTTAAGGTGTGCTGCAACTAAATAAACCCTGGATTTTTTTGTGCACCTTGATGATGAATTAAACAAGACACTGTATATTTGTGCTCTGAATGTGGTTTGTTTCATTATGTTTATTTCCTATGGGTATTAAATGAAATTCTAGTTTACTGTATAAACTCATGTTGTTAATTTGTGTCGTCCTTATATGGGTCCCCGAGTTAATTATTTAAAAAATAAAAAAATTCTCTTATATCACTCACTTCATTCTGAAAATCAATATCTTTTAGTAGAGCAGTTAAACATTCAGCTCTTTATAGCTTGAATACTTGACAAGGGAAAAATGCTCCTCTAGAAATTTCGGCCTGTATTCTTTTGCTCTTTCGACTTTCTGTTTCTTGGTTGTTCTTCCCTCTTCCCCTTGCCCTCTTGGAAACAAGGGCTTACTTAAACATGTACTTTAAGATGATTTTTTTGCTGCTTCACTTCCACAAACTTTGAGAGGATGAGGATGGGACAGGGCCGGATTCATCAGAGTGCAGAGAGGTTGACAGGGACATCCTTGTTTACTGTGTCAAAACTGAAAAATGTAACTGATCAGTGCTTGCATTTATGTCAGAGCAGCTGCGGTGCTGGGTGTAGCAACTATTCTTTTTTTTTTTTTTCCTAGACATAAACAGTTTAAAATAGCTCAGTATTTAAATCCATGCCTCTTGAAGCATGAAAGAAGCAATAGACTCCTTTTTGAGAAATTATGATTTGCACCAGGAAACGCTGCACCCCTTAAATATTCAGTGTTAAAATTTTATTCTGAATCTGAAGCTCTCCTCTGATGTGAAATAGAGATTATTACAAAACAGTATGTTCTGAAAGCATAACTGAGCAAAAACATATGTGCATCTTTTGTTGCAATTAAAAGTTAGAATCTTTAGAACTTAAAAAAAATCCCTGAATTAGTTTAGAAGAATCTTGCTTGTCACCATCCGTGTCTAATTCATTGCACGTGTAATTCAAATACTGCATGCAAGCAGAAAGTCAAATGCCTTCTGTTTCTACGGGATAGTTGCCTAGCTAAAGTCAGAGGTAATAATGAAATACACAGATGTTGTCTTTTCTTGTAGGACTTCTGAAACTCACAGCTGTAGCCTGTGTTGAATGACACATACACACCATCCCCATCCCCAAATACTAAGAGCTTTTCTGTTGGGGGAGCTCTGAGTCAGGACTTGTGGATTAGGTTTCAGGGAGGCTGTGCTGGAGGTGTTCTGGGGCTTGAAGGGAGAGAAGCAAGCTGAGAACGCAGTAACTGGTGTTTGCTGCCAGGAAGGAAGAGCACAAGAACTGTTAGTGGTGCTCAGCAGGACTCTGATGTTTGAAGAGGCATAAGGCAGCACATGTACAGTGAGGACTCTTTGAATTTGTGGGGAAGAGCTTTCTCTGTGTGTGTCTCTGTCCTTTGGACTAATGCAGTACTGTATTCATGGACTG